CTCCTCCAGTCTGTACACTGTGCTGTACGTCATATACTCCGCTCCTCCAGTCTGTACACTGTGCTGTACGTCATATACTCCGCTCCTCCAGTCTGTACACTGTGCTGTACGTCATTACTCCCGCTCCTCCAGTCTGTACACTGTGCTGTACATCATATACTCCGCACTCCTCCAGTCTGTACACTGTGCTGTACATCATATACTCCGCTCCTCCAGTCTGTACACTGTGCTGTACATCATCATATACTCGCGCTCCAGTCTGTACACTGTGCTGTACGTCATATACTCCGCTCCTCCAGTCTGTACACTGTGCTGTACGTCATATACTCCGCTCCTCCAGTCTGTACACTGTGCTGTACGTCATATACTGCGCTCCTCCTCCAGTCTGTACACTGTGCTGTACGTCATATACTGCGCTCCTCCAGTCTGTACACTGTGCTGTACGTCATATACTGCGCTCCTCCAGTCTGTACACTGTGCTGTACGTCATATACTCCGCTCCTCCAGTCTGTACACTGTGCTGTACGTCATATACTCCGCTCCTCCAGTCTGTACACTGTGCTGTACGTCATATACTCCGCTCCTCCAGTCTGTACACTGTGCTGTACGTCATATACTCCGCTCCTCCAGTCTGTACACTGTGCTGTACGTCATATACTCCGCACTCCTCCAGTCTGTACACTGTGCTGTACATCATATACTCGCTCCTCCAGTCTGTACACTGTGCTGTACGTTATATACTCCGCTCCTCCAGTCTGTACACTGTGCTGTACGTCATATACTCCGCTCCTCCAGTCTGTACACTGTGCTGTACGTCATATACTCGCTCCTCCAGTCTGTACACTGTGCTGTACGTTATATACTCCGCTCCTCCAGTCTGTACACTGTGCTGTACATCATATACTCCGCTCCTCCAGTCTGTACACTGTGCTGTACATCATATACTCCCCTCCTCCAGTCTGTACACTGTGCTGTACATCATACTGCGCGCTCCTCCAGTCTGTACACTGTGCTGTACATCATATACTCCATATACTCCTCCAGTCTGTACACTGTGCTGTACGTCATATACTCCGCTCCTCCAGTCTGTACACTGTGCTGTACGTCATATACTCCGCTCCTCCAGTCTCTGTGCTGTACGTCATATACTACTCCGCTCCTCCAGTCTGTACACTGTGCTGTACGTCATATACTCCGCTCCTCCAGTCTGTACACTGTGCTGTACGTCATATACTCCGCTCCTCCTCCAGTCTGTACACTGTGCTGTACGTCATATACTCCGCTCCTCCAGTCTGTACACTGTGCTGTACGTCATATACTCCGCTCCTCCAGTCTGTACACTGTGCTGTACATCATATACTCCGCTCCTCCAGTCTGTACACTGTGCTGTACGTCATATACTCCCTCCTCCAGTCTGTACACTGTGCTGTACATCATATACTCGCTCCTCCAGTCTGTACACTGTGCTGTACGTCATATACTCCGCTCCTCCAGTCTGTACACTGTGCTGTACATCATATACTCCGCTCCTCCAGTCTGTACACTGTGCTGTACGTCATATACTCCGCTCCTCCAGTCTGTACACTGTGCTGTACATCATATACTCCGCTCCTCCAGTCTGTACACTGTGCTGTACATCATATACTCCGCTCCTCCAGTCTGTACACTGTGCTGTACGTCATATACTCCGCTCCTCCAGTCTGTACACTGTGCTGTACATCATATACTCCGCTCCTCCAGTCTGTACACTGTGCTGTACATCATATACTCCGCTCCTCCAGTCTGTACACTGTGCTGTATGTCATATACTGCGCACTCCTCCAGTCTGTACACTGTGCTGTACATCATATACTCGCTCCTCCAGTCTGTACACTGTGCTGTACATTATATACTCCGCTCCTCCAGTCTGTACACTGTGCTGTACGTCATATACTCCGCTCCTCCAGTCTGTACACTGTGCTGTACGTTATATACTCCGCTCCTCCAGTCTGTACACTGTGCTGTACATCATATACTCCGCTCCTCCAGTCTGTACACTGTGCTGTACATCATATACTCCGCTCCTCCAGTCTGTACACTGTGCTGTACATCATATACTCCGCTCCTCCAGTCTGTACACTGTGCTGTACATCATATACTCCGCTCCTCCAGTCTGTACACTGTGCTGTACATCATATACTCCGCTCCTCCAGTCTGTACACTGTGCTGTACATCATATACTCCACTCCTCCAGTCTGTACACTGTGCTGTACGTCATATACTCCGCTCCTCCAGTCTGTACACTGTGCTGTACGTCATATACTCCGCTCCTCCAGTCTGTACACTGTGCTGTACGTCATATACTCGCTCCTCCAGTCTGTACACTGTGCTGTACGTCATATACTCCGCTCCTCCAGTCTGTACACTGTGCTGTACGTCATATACTGCGCACCCTCCAGTCTGTACACTGTGCTGTACGTCACATACTCCACACTCCTCTAGTCTGTACACTGTGCTGTACGTCATATACTCCGCACTCCTCCAGTCTGTACACTGTGCTGTACATCATATACTCCTGCGCACACTCCTCCAGTCTGTACACTGTGCTGTACGTCATATACTGCGCACTCCTCCAGTCTGTACACTGTGCTGTACGTCATATACTCCCACACTCCTCTAGTCTGTACACTGTGCTGTACGTCATATACTCCCTCCTCCAGTCTGTACACTGTGCTGTACATCATATACTCCGCTCCTCCAGTCTGTACACTGTGCTGTACATTATATACTCCGCTCCTCCAGTCTGTACACTGTGCTGTACATCATATACTCCGCTCCTCCAGTCTGTACACTGTGCTGTACGTCATATACTCCGCTCCTCCAGTCTGTACACTGTGCTGTACGTCATATATACTCCGCTCCTCCAGTCTGTACACTGTGCTGTACGTCATATACTCCGCTCCTCCAGTCTGTACACTGTGCTGTACATCATATACTGCGCACTCCTCCAGTCTGTACACTGTGCTGTACATTATATACTCCGCTCCTCCAGTCTGTACACTGTGCTGTACATCATATACTCTCGCTCTCCTCCAGTCTGTACACTGTGCTGTACATCATATACTCCGCTCCTCCAGTCTGTACACTGTGCTGTACGTCATATACTGCGCGCTCCTCCAGTCTGTACACTGTGCTGTACATCATATACTCCACTCCTCCAGTCTGTACACTGTGCTGTACATCATATACTGCGCTCCTCCAGTCTGTACACTGTGCTGTACGTCATATACTGCGCACTCCTCCAGTCTGTACACTGTGCTGTACGTCATATACTCCACTCCTCCAGTCTGTACACTGTGCTGTACGTCATATACTCCGCTCCTCCAGTCTGTACACTGTGCTGTACGTCATATACTCCGCTCCTCCAGTCTGTACACTGTGCTGTACGTCATATACTCCGCTCCTCCAGTCTGTACACTGTGCTGTACGTCATATACTCCGCTCCTCCAGTCTGTACACTGTGCTGTACATCATATACTCCCGCTCCTCCAGTCTGTACACTGTGCTGTACGTCATATACTCCGCTCCTCCAGTCTGTACACTGTGCTGTACGTCATATACTCCGCTCCTCCAGTCTGTACACTGTGCTGTACGTCATATACTGCGCACTCCTCCAGTCTGTACACTGTGCTGTACATTATATACTCCGCTCCTCCAGTCTGTACACTGTGCTGTACATCATATACTCCGCTCCTCCAGTCTGTACACTGTGCTGTACATCATATACTCCGCTCCTCCAGTCTGTACACTGTGCTGTACATCATATACTCCGCTCCTCAATATGTGTCATTTACAGTATACTGCACGCCGCTCCACCCTGTACAGTGTATGGGGCAATCTATACCCCAGGCCCGCCCTACTTTGCGCACTGTGCTGTACATGGTATACTCTACATTGCTGTACTACAGTTGCTCTTTTGAAGCCCGTGCATTTTCGGACATTTGAAGACGCGACGTTCGCCAACCCTTTCGGCAAGATGGCCGCCACGGCTCCGCCCCCCTCGCTTCGATGCGCACAGAATGCCGTCTCGGGATAAGAGCCGCCCGCTCCATTTATTCCTTCCAGCTAATTCGGCTTTTAAGGGACGCCATGCAAATATTGTTCTTCCCCCAAACAAATGGGCCGTGCGAGCCGAGCGCGGGGGCCCCGGGGCCCGGGGCATATGGTGCTTTGTGTGCTCTCCCGGCATTAGGCCTCTCTCCATAAATCAATTACTGAGCCTCTGGTTGTGTAAGCAGATTATGGGTGCGTCCGCTCTGTATGGGCGCGGTATCTGGGTAACGGCTGGACCGTGCCGTCGTTCTGAGGACAGCGGAGGGTTCTCCTGGTCCCAGGCGTTGGACTTCTCCGATTATCCAAAGTGCTCACATGTTTCAGTCCCTTAGCGACGCCACTTGTCCGTTCATTGGGCCGGATAATCGTTTGTTGGCTTTGGTCCTCGCTGACCGCGATGGAGACAAACTGCCGACTCGTCAGTAAGTGATCGAGGGAAAAAAATGTGCTGAGTTCCCGAGTCTGTACACCTGCTGTGCCCATTATGAGGGGTTCCCACCATCCCTGTGCTGGGTTCCCCGGGTTTATACGCCTGCTGTGCCCATTATGAGGGGTTCCCACCATCCCTGTGCTGAGTTCCCGGGTCTGTACGCCCGCTGTGCCCATTATGAGGGTTCCCACCATCCCTGTGCTGAGTTCCCAGCTCTGTACACCTGCTGTGCCCATTATGAGGGGTTCCCACCATCCCTGTGCTGGGTTCCCGGGTTTATACGCCTGCTGTGCCCATTATGAGGGGTTCCCACCATCCCTGTGCTGAGTTCCCGGGCTGTACACCCGCTGTGCCCATTATGAGGGGTTCCCACCATCCCTGTGCTGGGTTCCCGGGTTTATACGCCTGCTGTGCCCATTATGAGGGGTTCCCACCATCCCTGTGCTGAGTTCCCGGGTCTGTACACCCGCTGTGCCCATTATGAGGGGTTCCCACCATCCCTGTGCTGAGTTCCCAGGTCTGTACGCCTGCTGTGCCCATTATAAGGAGTTCCCACCATCCCTGTGCTGGGTTCCCGGGTCTGTACACCTGCTGTGCCCATTATGAGAGGTTCCCATCATCCCTGTGCTGAGTTTCCGGGTCTGTACGCCTGCTGTGCCCATTATGATAGGGTTCCCATCATCCCTGTGCTGAGTTCCCGGGTCTGTACACCCGCTGTGCCCTTTATGAGGGGTTCCCACCATTCTTGTGCTGAGTTACTGGGTCTGTACACCCGCTGTGTCCATTATGAGGGGTTCCCACCAGGGGCGGACTGACAACTCATGGGGCCCCGGGCAATAGAGAATCATGGGGCCCCCGTGTCCTTGCCCAATTTTAAAAAATCCTATGAGAAAGGTACCAGGGGCATCTCATGGGGCCCCCTACTGACCCGGGCCCTTGGGCAGTGCCTGAGTTTCCAAATGGTCAGTCCGCCCCTGGTTCCCACTATCCCTGAGCTGAGTTCCCAGGTCTGTACACCTGCTGTACCCATTATGAGGGGTTCCCATCATCCCTGTGCGGAGTTCCCAGGTCTGAACACCTGCTGTACCCATTATGAGGGGTTCCCATCATCCATGTGCTGAGTTCCCAGGTCTGTACACCTGCTGTACCCATTATGAGGGGTTCCCATCATCCATGTGCTGAGTTCCCGGGTTTGTACACCTGCTGTACCCATTATGAGGGGTTCCCAACAGATGCCTCCAAGTTCTCCATTTTTTTACCCCAGAACACATTGTGAAAAAGTTCCTTGGTGTCCAGCAATACTGATTTACTGCTCGTATGTGAAAGATTTGACCTAAATCTGGAAACTTTGACCTATTCATGACCCAGAAGGCTCCCCGAACTAAAAGTCCTTCCTAGAATTTGGGGTTTTCCAGCTTCCAAAGAGAAGCCCTCAAATGCACTTACATCACTGCTCCTGGTCTCACATGCTTCCCACTGTTGGAAAGCAGTACCACTCCCTGGAAAGGGTGGCCACCAGGGGTGGACTGACAACTCATGGGGCCCCCCCCGGGCAAAAGGGGATCATGGGGTCCCTGTGTCCTTGCCCACACTCAAAGCACACCCAAAAAAGCCTATAAAAAGGTACCAGTGGCATTTCATGGGGCCCCCTACTGACCCCGGGCCCTCGGGCAGTACCTGAGTGCTCGAATGGTCAGTTCTCCGCCCCTGGTGGCCACATGGACCAAACCCTTATCTTCACATGGTGGTGGACGTTCCTCTCTGCCTTCCCATCCAGATCCCTTCTGTGACACAGTACATGTTATGCCATGTCCACGCCAAAATGGCCACCAAAATCTCACAAGCCCAATTGTGACATAGATTTCTCCAAGATGGTGCCAAAAGCCCACAGTAAAATGGCCACCAAAATCTCACAAGCCCAATTGAGACATAGACTTCTCCAAGATGGTGCCAAGAGCCCACAGCAGAGGACACATTAGTCCCTATGCTTTGTGCAATGGCTTGCACCCTCGTAAGCATGGCTTCCTCTGACAATATGACTGCCGTTCTCCACCATCTGCATGGTGTACCATATGGCAACAGTCCAATTTTTCAAAAGAACTCCACTCCATCCCTAAGGTCCAACCAAGAACAGCACAGGAAGCACGCAATGGTGTCATCTGAGCCAACATCTCATTCCAGGAAGTAGATGGATGATCCCTGAATAAAGATGGCGCCAAGAAAGCAGACGAAGGAATTATCGGGGGGGGGGGGGGGACTACTCTGTGAAAAGTATTCATAGGATCTGATGATTCCTTGAGTCAAGCTCCAGAAGAGGTCATGCCTCAAAGCCGACGAAACAAAAATCCCGGCTCGCAGTCACAATGACGCGGGAACGCGGTGACTAAACCCACTTTGGTCCCGATGAGAACGCATTTTTTTTTTTACATTGAACCCGCTGCTTCTGTTTGGTTAATGGGGCCGCTCGCTATTTGCCGCTGTTGTTCTATTAACGTCACGGATGTTTAAGTGCTCCATGTGTTTGTTTTCCTGCCTATAGAAGAGATTACCAGAAATGGATGTTGACTCAAACCGCGATAATCATTGTATCGGCCCTGATAGGATTTATTACGCAACGCGCCGAAAGTATAACCACTCGCCGACCAGTCAGGAACGTCGCTGGACTTCAAGTGGTTATACTGGAAGATGGTTGTTCTATTGAAACTTGCCGTAAGCCACCATGTTGGAAATGCCTCTTTATGAAGAAAAGATGGTTTGCTAACAAGTTATATTGAGGGCTTCTCTTTTGGGTGGAAGCGGGAGAACCCCAAGTTCTAGGAATGCTGGTGTGGGGTATGGGGGTGATCAGGATGTTGGTATGGGGTATGGCGGTGATCAGGACACTGGTAAGGGGGGCGGTGATCAGGACACTGGTAAGGGGTATGGCGGTGATCAGGACTCTGGTAAGGGGCTATGGTGGTGATCAGGACACTGGTATGGGGTATGGCGGTGATCAGGATGCTGGTATGGGGGTGATCAAGAAGCTGGTATAGGGTCGGTGGTGATCAGGATGTTGGTATGGGTATGGTGGTGATCAGGATGCTGGTATGAGGGGTGACCAAGAAGCTGGTATGGGGGTGATGATCAGGATGCTGGTATGGGGTATGGAGGTGATCAGGACGCTGGTATGGGATATGGTGGTGATCAGGACGCTGGTATGAGGGGTGATCAAGAAGCTGGTATGGAGGGATCAGGATGCTGGTATGGTGTATGGCGGTGATCAGGATGCTGGTATGAGGGTGATCAAGAAGCTGGTATGGAGGTGATCAGGATGCTGGTATGAGGGTGATCAAGAAGCTGGTATGGGGTATGGGGGTGATCAGGACGCTGGTATGGGGTATGGTGGTGATCAGGACACTGATTTGGGGTATGGCGGTGATCAGGACGCTGGTATGAGGGTGATGGGGGTATGGCGGTGATCAGGACGCTGGTATGGGCTATGGGGTGATCAGGATGCTGGTATGGGGGGCGGTGATCAGGATTTGGTATGGGGTATGGTCGGTGATCAGGACGCTGGTATGGGGTATGGTGGTGATCAGGATTTGGTATGGGGTATGTCGGTGATCAGGATGCTGGTATGGGCTATGGTGGTGATCAGGACGCTGATATGGGGCATGGTTGTGATCAGGACGCTGGTATGGGGTATGGTGGTGATCAGGACGCTGGTATGGTGTATGGTGGTGATCAGGATGCTGGTATGAGGGTGATCAAGAAGCTGGTATGGGGGTGATCAGGATGCTGGTATGGTGTATGGCGGTGATCAGGATGCTGGTATGGGCTATGGTGGTGATCAGGACGCTGGTATGGGATATGGCGGTGATCAGGACGCTGGTATGGTGTATGGCGGTGATCAGGATGCTGGTATGAGGGTGATCAGGAAGCTGGTATGGGGTATGGTGGTGATCAGGACGCTGATATGGGGTATGGTTGTGATCAGGACGCTGGTATGGGGTATGGTGGTGATCAGGACGCTGGTATGGTGTATGGCGGTGATCAGGATGCTGGTATGAGGGTGATCAAGAAGCTGGTATGGGATATGGTGGTGATCAGGACGCTGATATGGGGTATGGTTGTGATCAGGACGCTGGTATGGGGTATGGTGGTGATCAGGACGCTGGTATGGGGTATGGCGGTGATCAGGATGCTGGTATGGGGTATGGTGGTGATCAGGATGCTGGTATGGGCTATGGTGGTGATCAGGACGCTGGTATGGGGTATGTCGGTGATCAGGACACTGGTATGGGGTATGGTGGTGATCAGGATTTGGTATGGGGTATGTCGGTGATCAGGACGCTGGTATGGGGTATGGTGGTGATCAGGACGCTGGTATGGGGTATGGTGGTGATCAGGACGCTGGTATGGGGTATGGCGGTGATCAGGACGCTGGTATGGGGTATGATGGTATGGGCTATGGTGGTGATCAGGACGCTGGCATGGCGGTGATCAGGATGCTGGTATGGGGTATGGCGGTGATCAGGATGCTGGTATGGGGTATGGTGGTGATCAGGATGCTGGTTTGAGGTATGGTGGTGATCAGGACGCTGGTATGGGATATGGTGGTATGGGCTATGGTGGTGATCAGGACGCTGGCATGGCGGTGATCAGGATGCTGGTATGGGGTATGGCGGTGATCAGGATGCTGGTATGGGGTATGGCGGTGATCAGGATGCTGGTATGGGGTATGGGATGGCGGTGATCAGGATTCTGGTATGGGGTATGGCGGTGATCAGGATGCTGGTATGGGGTATGGCGGTGATCAGGATGCTGGTATGGGGTATGGCGGTGATCAGGGCGTTGGTTAGACTGGATAAGTTTCAACAAGTGTGTGGCTGTCTCCAATCAGTCAAACATTTCACCAACTTCTGTCTAAGGGACATGCTGAAAAAGGTTTCTCGATGAGCGGCTGCAGTCACTGATCAGTATATTTTGACAACAGTGGGTGTTGCTATCAGAATACAGTGTCCTGTTGGGACGGTGGTTTCTCCACCCACCTTATTTGCGTAGAGGACCCTAATAGTTCAGTGGGCTAAACTAAAAGAAAATCTAACAGTTTATGGCCAGTTTAACACTGACTGAGGGTACATGGAGGAAACCAGGGAGTATCTGGCCTGGACTGAACTACTTACAGGAGGGGAGAACAAATGGCGATACCAAAACCACTTCAGTAAACAAATTGTAGCTGCCCTAAACCACTTCTTCGCACTTCACTACATCGCATGGATTCCACTTTATTGAAACAGTCACCTCCGATCAACAGAAAATGTACAGATGGGTTGGCTATGGTCAACACTAAAGAGGCCCTGTCTTCTTATTAATGCCGGACACTTTCTTTTTTTCCCCTAGAAAAAAGATAGTAACGACTTCCACGTGGTCCTCGGGAATGAAGCCTGTGATTTGGACTCCATGGTTTCTGCTATAACCCTGGCCTACTTCCTCTCCAAGGTATGAGTCCATGTCTGGTAAACCATCTAAAGCTGGCCACACACCGGTAGAATTTATGGAACGTTGGATTTTTCTAAAAGTTAATGGGGCTAAATTGACAATCGGTTTTGACTGCAGTGGCAATGAAAATCGGAGAAGGTTGGAAAGCTTTTCTCGAACCGATGAAATTCGATCTTCAAAGTTCAAAGAATTGATGTGGCAACTGAACCAAATTTTTCAGGGTTTTCATACGAAATTTGTCCATAATGGTTCTATCAATTTTTCTGAAGTTCTGAATTTTCGAACGTACCTTTAACCAAAATTCTATTGGTGGGCAGTTTAACTCTCCCAATGACTCGCCTGTCTCCGTATGGGCCCTGTGGGTGTGTTTGAAGGCCTTGACCAATCATGATAAGTTGTGTCTGGCCAAGATTCCTTCAGTCGTGGTTAGAAGATCCCACCATACATGTCTATATGGAATCCCGTAGAAGAAGAAATCCTGGGACAGCCGAAGTTACTTTTTTAAATGCACATGAAAAGGATGATGGGAAACCACGTTAAAAAGCAGATTTTCCCTTTAACTTCTTTTTATTTATTTTTTTCGGTTAGACCTCTTCCAGTAAAAATTTGGTGTATGTCCCAGTGTTGAACATCCCTCGAGAAGACTTCCCGCTCAGGACAGAATGCAGCTTCTTCCTGCAAGAAAACAGAATATCGGAAGATCTGTTGACGTTCCGCGATGAAGTAGACCTGGCCGACCTTTATGAATCGGGTCAGCTGTCGTTGTCACTGGTAGATCACAATGTGTTAGCCAGGTAAGGGTGACACCCACTTGCCATGGACCCTGCCAAGAACTGCACAACCACCAGGATCTACATGATCGTGTCATGTTTGAGTCGATACCAGGGGCGGACTGACCATTTGGAAACTCGGGCACTGCCCGAGGGCCCGGGGTCAGTAGGGGGCCCCATGAGATGCCCCTGGTACCTTTTTCATAGGCTTTTTTGAGTTTGGACAAGGACACAGGAGCCCCATGATCCCCTTTTGTCCAGGGAGTTGTCAGTCCGCCCCTGGTCGATACCTTACTCCAGGAAGTAGATGGTGACCTTGGGTAATTCCTAAACCAAGATGGCAGTGTAGTAACTACTCTGCAATTGGACGGCACTGCCATCATTTCAGTCTGACCTATAGAGCCTCCAAGCAGGCAGCATCTTATATGTTGTCACTTTAGCTTTCCCCTAGTGCTTCGGAAGTCCTTTGAGATGTATTAAATTACTCTCTTTTATATATATATATATATATTTCATCCCTGGCCATGTGGGATCTCCTGCATGGTAGGGGTTGGGGAAAGACCTGGCAACCTACCCTGTAAAAATAATTGCTAAAAGAATTCATGGAAAAAGTCGCTTATGAGTGATGGTCCATGCAATCGCCAAGGGTCGGATACGACTGAATGGATATATATACTGTATATATATTTCAGTAAATTCTAGAACAACCCTTCTCAACTTCTTCAGGATGGAGGAATTCTTAGGATAACTTTTCAGGTTGAGGAACCCCTACTAGTACTCACTACTTCACAGCTCAATGTACATTGGCATGATGGTCAGTGAGAAGAATGCTCCTTACATTTGTGGTCATTGGGAATAACCCCCCCCCAGATAGCTAAAAAGATCACCGGTGTCATTGGTTACCTAAATGAGAGACAGGACAGGCCCACTGCTCAAGGACGTCTTGGCAACCTCTGGAGGAACAGTAGAGATCCATGGAACCCTGGTTGAGAAAGGTCGTAATAGAGAATACAACCAGCCAATATTTTCCGATGTTTTGAAGGGTCTGAACATCTGTCTTGGCCATTACTTGGGAGGTCCCTGTCCCTGTTACAATATGAATTTAGATAATGTAAAAGGCAGCAGTAGGGGAAAACCCAAGATGGATGGGGGCACCAAAAATTCCAAACTGGCCAGGAACACAGGGACTTACTGCTGGACCTCCACCAGAGAAATAAAAAGCCCCTACAACCTTCACCAATCATGAAATAACACTTTTTGGGTAAAAACCTTAACTCGTTTTTGCTGGTAAATGTATTTCTACTTTCACATTCATTCATTAGGTCTGACTCGTATATGGAAGACGTGGTGACCGAGGTTATTGACCACCGTGTTTTGGAGAGGAAGCCCTCTGCGAACTGCCGGGTCACTGTGGAGCTGGTGGGATCTTGCACCACTTTGGTTGCGGAGAAGATCGTTCAGGAGGCACCACAAATCCTGGACTTCCAACTTGCATCTGTGCTTCGAGGTGAGTCCTGAGAGGGAGAATGAAGTTTGCCAGGAAATTGTAGAGCTGCTGAGAAGATTCACTATCTCTATATGTCCTAAAGATCATGATCCCCGGCAGAGTAAGTGATGGGAAGTCCAAAACTTTGCAGTTTTCTCTGAATAGGAATAAAGGGGACATCCTCCATTGGGAACACATGTTCCAGTGATCACTGTCTGAGAGGGGATTTTCCTTCACTTTGGATGGATTTCCTTTCACTTTCTGTTGTGTCCCCAGGACAGGAAGTGAAGGGAAATCTGCCCACTGGGACATGCAGCATAAGTTGTCTTCATACCGCTTCAAAATGCTCAAGTTCATCAACATTCAGCAGCCTTTCTAAGCCGGGGTTTAATGAAACTTTAGGGTTCCTTCAGAGATTCCATTCCTAGGGGTTCCTTAAGCAACGAATAGTGATGGATTGTTTACCCAACTAACTGGCACTTTCATATTCTGGCACCACCATTACTTGTTAGAGCTAATGGCATTGGACCAGTGGAACCTTTCCTTTTATCTCAGCTAAATAGCCACTGACCCCAATGATCTTATATGGTGTCTGTACGGGGGACATTGTTCCCACTGACCATCAATGTCAGGAGCATTCTTCCCCCTGACTCTGATTGTAAGGAGCATTCTTCCCATTAGCCTTCAGTGTAAGGGGCATTCTTCCCAATGGCTATCAGTGTAAAGGGCATTGTCCCCATTGGCCACTAGTGTAAGGAGCATTCTTCCTGTTGGCCACTAATATAAGAAGCATTCTTTCCATTGGCCACCAGTGTAAGGAGCATTCTTTCCCCTGCCCACCAATGTATTTTATTATTATTATTTATTATTATTATCATACAGTATTTATAAAGCGCCAATAGTTCGCTCAGCGCTGTACATTACAAAGGGGGACAGAACATGTGACAGAACAATACCAATACAATGCAAAACATGAGGGGATCGAGGGCCCTGCTCTTTCGAGCTTACAATCTAGGAGGGAGGGGATGGTGGTACAGGAGGAGATAGCTGTGGGGGATGGGGTGGTAGGAAGAGTGGAGGAGGTCGGCAAGTTAGCAGGGGGTGGGGTAGGCTTCCCTGAAGAGATGGGTTTTCAGGGTGCGCCTAAAGGAGAGGAGAGTAGGTGATAATCTGATGGGTTGGGGCAGGGAGTTCCAGAGGATGGGTGACACCCTGGAGAAGTCCTGGAGGCGGGCATGGGAGGAGAAGACCAGGGAACTAGAGAGAAGGAGGTCTTGTGAGGAGCGGAGTGTGCGTGTTGGGCGGTACTTGGATATTAGGTCAGTGATGTAGTTCGGGGCAGTATGGTGGACAGCTTTGTACGTCAGCGTTAGGATTTTGAATTTGATCCGTTGTGCAATCGGAAGCCAGTGGAGGGATTGGCAGAGGGGGGTGGCGGAGATGGAGCGGTTGGAAAGGTGAATGAGTCTGGCAGCCGTATTCAGGATGGACTGAAGCGGGGATAGCCAGCGGCGAGGCAGGCCAGTGAGGAGGGAGTTGCAGTAGTCGAGTCGTGATATGATGAGGGAGTGGATGAGCTGTTTAGTGGTTTCTGGGGTTAGGAACGTGTGGATTTTGGCGATGTTGCGGAGGTGGAGTCTGCACGAGTTTGTTAAAGATTGGACTTGGGGCTGGAAGGATAGGTTGGAGTCCAGAATGACACCAAGTACTCTGGCCTGCGGGGCGGGTTTGATGGTGGCGTTGTTTGACATGATGGAGAAGTCAATGGGGGGTGGGGTCCGGGCTGGAGGGAAGACAAGAAACTCAGTTTTGGAGAGGTTCAGTTTAAGGAAGTGGAGCGACATCCAATCTGATATGTCGCTCAGCAGGTGTGTGATTCGGGCAGAGACCGAGGGGGTGAGGTGGGGGGTTGAGAGATAGATTTGTGTGTCGTCGGCATAGAGGTGGTAGTTGAAGCCGTGAGAGTGTATGAGTTGGCCAAGGGAGGAGGTGTAGATGGAGAAGAGAAGGGGCCCAAGGACAGAGCCTTGAGGGAGCCCAACAGAGAGGGGGAGTGAGAGGGAGGTGGTGGCATTATAGGTAACGCTGAAAGAGCGTTGTGACAGGTAGGATGAGAGCCAGGAGAGAGCAGAATCTCTGAGGCCGAGGGAGTGTAGTTTTTTGAGGAGGAGGGGGTGGTCGACTGTGTCGAAGGCCGCGGAGAGGTCAAGGAGTAGGAGCACTGAATAGTGGCCATTAGCTTTGGCGGTTAGCAGGTCGTTGGAGAGTTTGAGTAAGGCGGTTTCGGTGGAGTGTAGGGGACGGAAGCCGGACTGTAGGGGATCGAGGAGGTTGTTGTTGTTGAGGTGAGCGCATAGGCGGGTGTAGACTAGGCGCTCGAGGAGTTTAGATGTAAATGGGAGCAGGGAGATGGGTCTGAGGTTGTTCGGGTCATTGGGGTCCAGGGAGGGCTTTTTAAGTATGGGGGTGATGTGTGCATGTTTCAGAGGGGAAGGGAAAGTGCCGGAGGAGAGGGAGAGATTAAAGATGTGGGTGAGGGAGCGTAGGATGGAGGGGGAGGGAGGTCGTGTAGGAGTTGTGAGGGGATAGGGTCGAGGGGGCAGGTGGTGAGGCGGGCATCAGAGAGGATCTTGGAGACTTCTTCGATGGTGGTAAGGTCAAAGGTGTGGAGTGTTGGGGGAGCTTCAGTATGAGGAATGTAGGGTGGGGTGGAAGAGGAGGTCAGAGCAGTGGTGGGGCTGTGGGAGAGGGGTGAAGAGGGGGGTAGCTGAGTGAGGGGGAAGGGGGTTGGAGGGGGAGTTTGAGCAGCGACGAAGTCCCTGTGGGTTATGTCGAGGGGAAGGGGGGATGAGGGGGTAGCTGTGTGAGAGGGGACGGGTTGAGAACGGCGTGTGAGTTGCGGCAATGTCCTTGCGAATTGTGTCAATCTTGTTTTTGAAGTGATTGGCAATCTCAAGGGCAGTGAGTGAGGTGCTGGGTGGAGGTGGGGGTTGCGAGAGTAGAGAGTTGAAGGTGGAGAAGAGTCGGCGAGGATTGGAGGAGAGGGCCTTGATGAGGGTCAGGAAGTAGGCTTGTTTGGCAGTATGGAGGGAGGAGGGGTAGGTGTGGAAGGCAGATTTGTATCGGGTGAAGGCTTGTTGGGATTTGGTTTTGCGCCATAGTCGCTCCAGGGCCCGACTGTGTCGTTTTGAGGGTTTTGGTGTGATCAGTCTGCCAGGGCTGGAGCGGTCGGGGTCTGATGTTGTGTGTGGTTAAAGGCGCTAGTGAGTCAAGGGCTGTTGACAGCGCATTGTTGTAGGCAGTCATAGCCAAGTCGGGGCAGGACAGGGGGAGGATGCGGTCATGGAGTTGATCAGCTGCGGAGTGGAGGGAGGCAGGGTTAAGGTTGCGGAGGTTACGGCTGGTAGAAGTGTGACATTTGGAGGGGTAGGCGTATTCTTCCCACTGGCCACCATTGCAAGAGGCGTTCTTCCCCCTGGCCACCAATGTAAGGAGCATTCTTCCCATTGGCCACCAGTGTAAAAAGCATTCGTCCCATTGACCACTAGTGTTAGGGGCATTCTTACCATTGGTTACCAGTGTAAAGGGCATTCTTTCCATTGACCACCAATGTTTTCCCTGGCCACTAGTGTAAGGAGTATTGTTCCCTTTGGCCACCAATGTAAGGAGCATTCTTCCCCCTGGCCACTAGTGTAAGGAGAATTTTCCCCCCTGGCCACCATTGTAAGGAGCATTTTTCCCGCTGGCCACCAATGGCCACCAGTGTAAGGATCATTCTTCTCCCTGGCCACCAATGTAAAGAGCATTCTTCTCATTGGCCACCAATGTAAGGAGCATTCTTCCCATTGGCCACCAGTGTAAAGAGCATTATTTGGACTGACCGCCAAAGTGAGGAGCAACCTTTCCATTGGCCACAAGTGTAAGGAACTTTCTTCCCATTGGCCACTAGTGTAGAGAGCACTCTTCTTACTGACCACCAAAGGGAGGGGAGGCCTTTTCCATTGAACACCAATGTAAGGGGCATTCTTTCCATTGGCCACCAATGTAAGGAGCATTCTTCCCATTGGTCACCAGTGTAAGGATCATTCTTCCCTCTGGCCACCAATGTAAGGAGCATTCTTCCCATTAGCCCCCAGTATAGAGAGCATTCTTCTCACTGACCACCAATGGGAGGGAGGTCTTTTCCACTGAACACCAATGTAAGGGGCATTCTTCCCACCAATGTTGAGGACCACCTTTCCCACTGAACAATGACCCTTGAGGTATGGGGATCATTTCCCACTGACCACCAATATGAGAGGGACTTTTCCAGTAACCACCTGACCTCTTCACTACTGACCACTAATGTAAGGAGGTACCTTTCCCTCTGAGCACTGCTGGAAGGGGCATTCTTCTCATAAACCCGAATTGGTTACAGAAGGTGGCAGTTTTTTTACTAATAAACGAAATTGGATGTTGTGCCGGATTGTTACCGTTGGTGGCCATCTTCTTCCAGTCTCAGTTTCCGCAGTACCAGCTGACCTTCCGTTCTCTTGTCGCTCCCACAGATACCATCGTATTGGACTGCGTGAACATGGCACCAGCCGCTGGCAAAGTGACCCCAAGAGACACGGAATACGTCACCATCTTGGAGTCGAAGTTCCCCGAATTGCCTCAGAGGGGCGGCGTTTTTGACTCGTTGCAGAACGCCAAGTTCGATGTCTCAGGTACACACTGCAAATACGAGATAAAAAAAAAAGAAGTTCTTAGGAGACCTTTGCTAAAGAAGAACCCTTCCATAATCACCGGGCGCTGGCGAGTAATCATCGTCCGCGACCCAGTGATTGACAGCCGAGGCCACGAATGGCGGAGCGGGTAGGGCTGAGGATTATCGGCAGTCATCGGCCGGGACCCAGTGATTGACAGCGGAAGCCCTGAATGGCAGAGCGGGTAGGGCTGAGGATTCTCAGCAATCGTCGGCCGAGACCCAGTGATTGACAGCCGAGGCCACGAGTGGCAGAGCGGGTAGGGTTGAGGATTCTCGGCAATCATCGGCTGGGACCCAATGATTGACAGCCGAGGCCGTGAATGGCGGAGCGGGTAGGGCTGAGGATTATCGGCAGTCATCGGCCGGGACCCAGTGATTGACAGCGGAAGCCGTGAATGGCGGAGCGGGTAGGGGTGAGGATTCTCGGCACCCAGTGATTGACGCGGAAGCCGGAATGGCCGGGTAGGGATGACAGCAATGATCGGCCGGGACGAAGTGATTGACGCGGAAGCCGCGAATGGCGGGCGGGTAGGGCTGAGGATTCTCAGCAATTGTCGGCCGGGACCCAGTGATTGACAGCTGAGAGGCCGCGAATGGCGGCAAAAGCAATTGTCATAAATTCTACTACATCCTCACGTAGCGAAGTAGAAGTCCCGCAAGCTGCAAATCCACTGTAGGAAAAGTATGTGGCAGTCTCATCCTGGGCTCTAGCCAGGCCACGCCCCCAGTGTGCTTAACTCCGCCCCCCCCCCCCCCCCCCCCCGGAGCTTAATCACTTTTTCTACAGTGGATTTGCAGCGATGTGCGGCTTGCGGGACCTCTCCTTCACTACGTGAGGATGTGGTACGTATTTTGGTAGCAAATATATATATTTTAATTTTTTTTATTTTAATAAAAATACCACATTATGGCTGCTAGATGGCGCTGATGATCATAGGGAAAAAAACATTTTAGACCAATAAACCTGCACTTGGCCGGCCCTCCCAGCACTCGATAACTCGGTAATCGATTGGGATCAAGAGCGTGAGCAGCACCCACATTTGTACAGGTGTAGGTTCACATATATATATATATATTTAATAAAATATCACACTATGGCCGCTAGATGGCGCTGACGGTCATAGGAAAAAAGCAATAATAATAATTTGCTCCTGGCCAGCACTTGGCAATTGATTGGGATCCTCTAGTGTCACCCACATTTGTACAGACGTAGATTCACATACATATATATATATATATATATTTTTTTTTAATTTTAATAAAATACCACAGTATGGCCACTAGATGGCGCCGATGATCATAGGAAAAAAGCAGATTAGACCAATTACAATAATAATTTGCTCCTGGCCAGCACTGGACTATTGATTGGGATGCTCTAGAAACATGAGCGGCACTCATATATATAATATAATTTTTTCTTTTTTTAAAAAAAAAAATACCACAGTACGGCCACTAGATGGCATTGACGATCATAGGAAAAAAGCATATTAGACCAATTAAAGTAATAATTTGTTCCTGGCCGGCACTTGGAAATTAATTGGGATCATCTAGGAGCGTGAGCATCACCCATGTAGGTTCACATATATATATAAAAAAATTTCTCAATTTTAATAAAATACAACACTATGGCCACTAGATGGCACTGACGATCACAGGAAAAAAGTATATTTAGACCAATTGCAATAATAATTTTCTCCTGGCCAGCACTTGACTATTGATTGGGATCCTCTATTAACGTGAGCGGCACCCACATTTGTACAGAAGTAGATTCACACACACATAAAGTAAAAAAAAAAAAATATATATATTTTTTTTTTTTTAATTTTAATAAAAATACCACATTATGGCCACTAGATAGCGCTGACGATCATAGGAAAAAAAAGCATATTAGACCGATTACAGTAATAATTTGTTTCTGGCCGGCACTCCCAGCACTCCGCGATTGATTGGGATCCTCTAGTGCGGGTGTCGGCAACCCGCGGCTCCAGAGCCGCATGCGGCTCTTTGTCATCTTTGCTGCGGCTCCGGAGCACACTGCCCACCAGGTGACAGGCAATAGGGTTTCAGTGGTCGGCAAGCCGCGGATCGCAAGCCACATGCGGCTCTTCTGTGTGCCGGGCGCCCGCTCCCCTCCCTCCTCTCGGGCGGCCTCCTCAAAAGTCAGGACTCTTTTAATCCGGCCCGCGGAACATTAGGTCAGGATGTAGGCGGGGCAGCCAGGATGTAGGCGGGGCAGCCAGGATGTACCCCACCCCCCCCCGGGGCAGCGTGACGAACTCCTCTCACAGTCCGCCCTGAAGACCGGAACACAGCGCGGGAACACAGCGAGAGGAACGCGCGGAGCAAAGGTAAGTGAATTGAGACAATATGGGGAATTAATTACTATAGGGGGGATGAATTATTATATGGAGGATGAATTACTATGGGGGATGAATTACTATATGGGGGATGAATTACTATGGGGGATGAATTACTATATGGGGATGAATTACTATATGGGGGATGAATTACTATATGGGGGATGAATTATTATATGGGGATGAATTACTATGGGGGAAATTACTATATGGGGGATGAATTACTATATGGGGGATGAATTACTATGGAGGATGAATTACTATAGGGGGGATGAATACTATGGGGGGATGAATTACTATATGGGGGATGAATTACTATAGGGGGGATGGGGGGATGAATTACTATAGGGGGGATGAATTACTTTATGGGGGATGAATTACTATAGGGGGGATGAATTACTATGGGGGATGAATTACTATATGGGGGATGAATTACTATATGGGGGATGAATTACTATATGGGGGATGAATTACTATGGGGGATGAATTACTATATGGGGGATGAATTACTATAATTACTATGGGGGGATGAATTACTATATGGGGGATGAATTATATATGGGGGATGAATGATATGGGGGATGAATTACTATGGGGGATGGGGGATGAATTACTTACTATATGGGGGATGAATTACTATATGGGGGATGAATTACTATATGGGGATGAATTACTATATGGGGGATGAATTACTATATGGGGGATGAATTACTATACTATATGGGGGATGAATTACTATATGGGGGATGAATTACTATATGGGGGATGAATTACTATGGGGGATGAATTACTATATGGGGGATGAATTACTATGGGGGATGGGGGGATGAATTACTTACTATATGGGGGATGAATTACTATATGGGGGATGAATTACTATATGGGGGATGAATTACTATATGGGGGATGAATTACTATATGGGGGATGAATTACTATGGGGGATGAATTACTATATGGGGGATGAATTATATGGGGGAATATTACTAATATGGATGAATTACTATATGGGGGATGAATTACTATTGGGGGATGAAATTATATATGGGGATGAATTACTATATGGGGGATGAATTACTATATGGGGGATGAATTTCCTACTATATGGGGGATGAATTACTATGGGATGAATTACTATAGGGGGGATGAATTATGAATTACTATATGGGGGATGAATTATTGAATTACTATGGGGATGAATACTATATGGGGGATGGGGGGATGAATTACTATGGGGGATGAATGACTATATGGGGGATGAATTACTATATGGGGGGATGAATTACTATATGGGGGATGAATTACTATATGGGGGATGAATTACTATATGGGGGATGAATTACTATATGGGGGATGAATTACTATACTGAATTACTATATGGGGGATGAATTACTATATGAATTACTATAGGGGGGATGAATTACTATATGGGGGATGAATTACTATATGGGGGATGAATTACTATATGGGGGATGAAGCTAACTGCACGATCCTGTATATAGCATTAAGGTAAGAAACAATATATGCAGTGTCGGATTTGTTTTAAATGTTGCAATGGTTTTGCGGCTCCCAGTCTTTTTTTTCCCTTCGGAAACGGGTCCAAGTGGCTCTTTATGTCTTAAAAGTTGCAGACCCCTGATCTAGTGGCACCCAGATCTGTACAGACGTAGATTCACACACACACACACACATATATATATATATTTTTAAATAAAATACCACATTATGGCCGCTAGATGGCGCTGATGATCATAGGGGGAAAAAAAGCATATTAGACCAATTAGAATAATAAAAATGACATATTTGTGGATTGGCCAGGAAGGGCCGGATAGGGGTAACCCGGTCCATGAGTTTGCCTGAACAGCCGCTGAGATTCGAGATCAGCCCCATGTGGAGTGCATGGTTTTCAATGGGTCAGCTGATCTATAGATGTAGAGGCGCAGTAAAGCACAACTATTGTGTAGCGCTGCAAAAGCAGGAGTCCCAACGACTAAACATGGCCGACCCTTCTGAGCGGAGGTCCCCTTTACCCCGGTGTCACACCTATGCGTTTTCCGCAGCGTTTTTCAGAAATGCACAGCAGTCCATTTCACATCCCTTCCTGTGGGACAGGTTCACATCTCAGCGTTTTTCACTCAAGGCGTTTTTGGAAAGGGGCGGAGACTTTTTTAAATGCAAAAAGTTGCGTATTTTGGTTCTATAGACTTCAATATAAACGCTGCAGAAAAGCATGTAGTGCATTTTTGCAGTGTTTTTGCTGCATTTTTTCCATGTTTTTGCTGCATTTTTGCTGCGTTTCTGCCGTGTTTTTTGCTGTATTTTTGCTGTTTTTGCTGCCTTTCTGCTGTTTTTGCTGCATTTTTGCCATATTTTGCTGCGTTTCTGCTGTTTTGATGTATTTTTGCTGCATTTTTGACTGTTTTTGATGTGTTTTTGCTGCATTTTTGCCGTGTTTTTGATGCGTTTTTGCTGCATTTTTGCCGTGCTTTTGCTGCATTTTTGCCGTATTTTTGCTGTGTTTTTGCCGTATTTTTGCTGTATTTTTGCTGTGTTTTTGTGTGCATTTGTTGCCGTGTTTTTGCCGTGTTTTTGCCGTGTTTTTGCCGTGCATTTTTGCTGCCGTGTTTTTGCTGCATTTTTGCTGTGTTTTTGATGTGTTTTTGCTACATTTCTGCTGCGTTTTTCCTGTGTTTTTGATGTTTTTTTCTGCATTTTTTGCCATGTTTTTGATGTATTTTTTCTGTATTTTTGCTGCGTTTTTGCTGTTTTTGATGCATTTTGCATTTTAAATCTACCTGGCAACAAGAAAAAAAAAACAAAAGCCAAAATGAAAAACGCGTCACACGCCTGCGCATAAACGCAAAACGCACCGCAGAAACGGAACCCAGCCTAAAGCAAGCCTGCTTGTCTCCCCCGCAGGTCTGAGTACGGATCAGATGCTCCGGAAGGATCTGAAGTCGCTGACGGGTCGTGACGTCGCTCTGGCTGCCAGTGCGATCTACATGCACCTAGAGGTAAGTCCGCCTCCATCCGGAACATAGGTGCCCCTCCCACCTGTGAAGGCTTTCTTCAGTGGCTGCTTGGTAGCAGATCGGCAATCGGCTTCTGTGCTGAACAACAACTGGATGAAAAAGAAAAAAAATTGTTGCAGGTATAGCGCCCCCTGCTGCAAACGGGCCTCCATGGCGGCTCAAACGTCTCTGCTAAGTGTGCGCACGTCGCAGTGATCAGGCCGTCCCGATCTCTAGTTATCCAATGGGACAGGCGCCTGATCATGTGACAACCAATCATAGTGATCATGTGATCCGGAGGTGCCCCCTCCCCCCCCAACCTCCTTAACGTATAACTATTTTATTTATTTTTTTTTAAATTTTGGGTGGAGAATGAGAACCCCTGCCAGGTTTTTACTGCTGCCCGTGTCCCTGTTAGGAGAGTCACCCTCTCGTTTGCCAGCGAGGGCGAAAGTGATAGAAAATCCCGCATTTTATGGTTGTCACCAGAACAGGAAGTGAAGGGAAATCTCCCAATGGGGACACTAGTCCTGGTGACAACTCATTGTGAAGTCATTTCCTCTCACTTCCTGTTTTTGGCTTTGGGACAGGAAGTGAACAGAAATTTTCTAATGGGGCCACTAGTCCTGGTGACAACTCACTTTGGAGGGATTGCCTCTCACTTCCTGTTTTGACTTTGGGACAGGAAATTAAGGGAAATTTCCCCAGTGGGGATACTAGTTCTGGTAACAACTCATTGTGAAGGGATTTCCTATCACTTCCTGTTTTGGCTTTGGGACAGGAAGTGAAGGGAAATCTTCCAATGAGGACACTAGTCCTGGTGACAACCAAAGTACAACTATTCCTTCACTTTGAAAGGATATTCTCTCACTTCCTGTTTTGGCTTTGGGACAGGAAATGAACGGAAATCTTCCAATGGGGACACTAGTCCTGGCGACAACTCACTTTGGAGGGATTTTCTCTCATTTCCTGTTTTGGATATGGGACAGGAAATGAAGGGAAATCTTCCAATGGGGGGTCACTAGTCCTGGTGACAACCTGGGATTACCTTCATTTTGGAGAGATTTCCTCTCACTTCCTGTTTTAGGCTATGGAACAGGAAATGAAGGAAATTCTTCCAATGGTGGTCACTAGTTCTGGTGACAACCAGAGAATTCCTTCACTTTGAAAGGATTTTCTCTCACTTCCTGTTTTAGGTTATGGAACAGGAAATGAAGGGAAATCTTCCAATGGGGACACTAGTCCTGGCGACAACTCACTTTGGAGGGATTTCTCTCATTTCCTGTTTTGGATATGGGACAGGAAATGAAGGGAAATCTTCCAATGGGGTCACTAGTCCTGGTGAAAACCAGGGATTCCTTCATTTGGAGGGATTTCCTCTCACTTCCTGTTTTGGATATGGAAAAAAGAATAAAGCTATTTTTACATATATTTGTAGATGCATTCCAAAAATGTAGATTTGTATTTTTAAAGACAGTATATTTGAAATGTATTTTCAAAAATATTTTTTTCTCATACATTTTGTAATAAAAAACAATTTCAACGTGCAGTATATATATATATTTATTGAAATATATTGAATACGGCCAAAATTGTAGTATATCAAATATATGTCAATATATTTGGGAAAATATTTTTTAAAATATATTTCAAATATATTTTTTTCTTCCATGTGGGCGGGGTCACTAGACAGGAGCTCAAGGACAGATTTTTTAAATGGTAAAAAAAAATAAAAGATACAGTTGCTGTATAATTTGTGAACATGTCAGGAGTTTTATTCGGCGCTCATATTCGATTCTGATTCCCCCGCTCAGGACTTCCTGCGGAGGGACGGCTTGGAGAACGATCTACAGACTTTTATGCAGAAGATACGGCTACAACGTCATCGTGGCCATGGCCATCACCTTCACTTACAATGAGCCCGTCAGGCAAATTGCAGTGTACAGCCAGCAGGGGGAGCTCAGGAAAAATGGTATGTATAAATCAGTGAAGTGCTGGGGGCTTAAAGGGGCACTCCCTCCCGTACTGTCTATGAGCGAACTTGGAGAGTTACGTTTTCTTAGGTGTCTTCCCAGCTCGGGGGGGGGGGGCAGGAACAGAGTTGGGGAAACCATGGCAAGGAGAAGTCACCACTTAAGTTTTCCGAGAGCTCTGATGAGTTGTAAATGAGAGCGGAACGAAAAAAATGTGTTTCATTATTTAAATAATTTTGTTTCGTTTTCGGAATTCCTTTCATTTATTTAAAATTCAATGCGCATTTTCCCGAAATTCGGTCTAATTGAATTTTAATTCGAAGTATTGAATCGACATTCAAATGAATTCTATTCGAAATTCCAAGCTTGGAATACGGGTTTATTTTTTTCTATTTTATTCGAGTCTTTTCTATTCTATTATTTTCTTTTCAATTCTATTCTACTCTAGTCTAACCTATTCTATTCCTTTTATTTTGCTATTTTATTCTAATCTTGTTTTATAATGACAAATTTTTTGTCAAATTTCAATTTGATTCGAATTTCGAACGTAATTTTGTTTCATTATTTCGGATTCGTTTAAATTCGTTACTGTTGTAATTTAAAAAAAATTTTGGATACATCCAGTTGGAGGGTAACTCAGTAAAAAATATATATAAAAATAGATAATAGATAAATAGACAGAGAGAGCGATTTATATATATATAATAATTTTATATATTTTTTTAAAAAATCTTTAATATATATATAATATATAAATTATATATTTAAAAAAAAATTATAATATTATATATTTTAATATTTATATTTTATATTAATATTATTTATATTTATATTAAAATAATTTTAAATATAAATTTTATAATAAATTTTTTATTATTAAATTAAAAATTTTTTTTTTTTATAAAAAAAATTTTATATAATTTTTTATTATTTTTTTAAAATATAATAAAATTTATATAAAAAAAATAAAATTTTTTATATTAATTAATAAAATTTATATATATATAAATATATATATATTTTTTTTATATATTAATTAAAATTTTATAAATATTAAAATATTATATTATATTATATAAAATTAAATATAAATATATATATATTTTTTATATATATATATAATATTAAAAAAATAAATTTTTTTTTTTTATAAATAATAAATTTTTTAATAATAAAAATTTTTAAATATATAAAATTATATTTATTTTAAATTATATTTATTATTTTATAATAAAAAAAAATTTTTTTTTAAAATTTTTTATTATTATAAAAAAAAATATATATATATATATAATTTATTTTTTTTTTTAATTTTTAAAAAAAATTTTTTTATAAAAAAATTTTTAAAATTGGAAAAAAAAAAAAAAAAATTTATAAAAAATTTAAATTTTTTTTTAAATTTTTTTATTTTAATATATTTTTTTTTAATTTTTTAATAAAAAAATTAACTTTAAAAAAAAAAAAATTTTTTGCAGTTTTTTTTTTTTTTTCATTAATAATTTTTTTTTTTTTTTTTTTTTTTTTTAAAAATTTTATAATTTTTTTTTTTAAAAAAAAAATATTTTTTTTTTTTTTTTTTATTTTTTTTTATTTTTAAAATTTCAAATTAAATTATAAAAAAAAAATATTTTTTTTTAAAAAAAAAAAAAAATTTTTTTTTTTTTTTTAAAAATTTTTTAAAAATTTTCATATATAAAAAAAAAAATTTTTAAAGGGATAAAAAAAAAAAAATAAAAATTTTTTTTTATTTGTAATATTTTATTTTTTTATGTTTCCTCCTAATATAAATATTTAAAAAAAAATTTTGAATTATAAATTTTTATTTTTTTAATTGATTTAAATGAATTATTTTTTAACCAACTATTATTAAAAAATAAAAAAAAAAAAAATTTATAAAAAATTTTATTAATTATTTTTAATTATTTTCAATTTTTAAAAAATTTATTAGTAAAAAAAATTATAATTTAATATTTTAAAAAAAATTTTTTTTTAAAAAAATTTTTAATTAATTATTTTTAAAAAATTTTAATTTTTAATTTATTTTTTTTTTTACCAATTATAAAAAAAATATTTTTTTTTTTTTTAATTTAAAAAATAAAAAAATAATATTATAATTTTATTACTAATTTATTAAATTTATAAATTTATTTTTATTTTTAGTAAAATTTAATAAATAATATTATTTTTTTAATATTAAAATTTTTTTTATTTTTTTAAAAATATTTTTTTAAAATAAAAATTAAAATTATTTTATTAAAAAAATTTTTTTTTTTTTTTTTTTTTTTTTCATTTTTAATATTAATTTAAAAAAATAAATTTTTTTTTTTTTTTTTTTATTTTTTATTATTTATTTTTTTTTTTTTTTTTAATTATTATTATTTAAATAATTAAAAAAAAATTTTTTACCCATTTGTTTATTTAAAAATTTTTTTTTATTATTAATAATTAAAATTATTTTTAATTAAAAATTTATTTTTATTTTTATTTTTTTTTTTATTATTATATATAATATTTTATATTATTTTTTATTTTTATTTTTTAAATTTTTTTATTTTTTTTTTTAATTAAAAAAAATATAATTTTTTTTAGCAAAATTATTTGTTATAAATTTTAAATAAAAAATTTTTATTTTTAATTTTATTTTTTTATTTTTATTTTTAATTATGTGTTATTTTTTTTAAAATTTTTTTTTTTATTAAATTATTTATTTTTATTTTTTAAATTTTTTTTTTTTTTTTTATTATTTTAAAAATTATTTTAAATTTATTTTTTTTATTTTAAATTTTTTTTTTTTTATATTTATATATTTAAAAATTTTTTTTTGCTTTTTTGCTGTACTTTTTAATAAAAAATTATTTTAAATTAAATTGAAAAAAATATAAATTTAATTTTTTTTTTAATAATTAAAAATATTTTAAAAAATTTTTTTTTAAAAAAAAAAATATTTAAAATAATTTTTTTTTTTTTTTTAAATAAATATTATTAAAATATATTTAAAAATAAATTTTTTTATTTTTTTTTTTTAAAAATTAAAATAATTAAAAATTATTAAAATTTTTTTTTTTTATTAAAATTTTTTATTTTACTAAATAAAAATTATTATTTTTATTTTTTAATTTTTATTATTAATTTAAATTAATATTTAAATTTTTTTTTTTTAAAGTTATTTATTATTATTTATTTATTAAAAAAATTTTAAAAATATTTTTTTTAAAATTTTTATAATTTTTTTTTAATTTAAAAAATAATTTTAAAAAAAATATTATTATTATTTATTTTTTTTTTTTATATTTAATTATTAATTTTTATTATATTAAAAAAATATTAAAAAATATCAAAAAAAAAATATTTTTTTTTAAAAATATTTTAAAAAAAAAAAAAATTTTTTTTATTTTAATTTTTTTTTAAAATTATTTTTTTTTTATTTATTAAAATTTATTTTAAAAAAAAATTTTTATTATTTTTTTTTTTTTTAAAAAATTAAATTTTAAAAAAAAAAAGAAAATTATTTTTTTGAAAAAAGGAAAATTTTTTTTTATTTTTTTTTAAAAAAAAAAACCATGCAAAAACCCTAAATTAAAAAAATTTTAGCACTAAAAATTTTTTAATTTTTTTCTCTGCCAAGAACTATCTTTTTTTTTTGTTTTTTTTTTTTTAAAAAAATAAAATGGGATTTATTAATTTAATTTGATTTTTTTAACAGCTGGTTTTTATTGGCTTTAAAAAAAATTTAATTTATTTTTTCGGATATGGAAAAAAAAAAAATTTAAAAATTATATAAAAAATTTTGATTGTACAATAAATTTGCTGCAGAGAGCCGTGTAAATTTTTTGAGCTATAAAATACCTGTCATTTTAATAAATAAAAAAATAAAAAAAAAAAAAAAATAATAATTTTTCTTTTTTTTTTTAAAATAAATAAATAAATAAAATAAAAAAAAATAAACAAATGTATAAAAAAAAAAATTTTTTTAATAAAATATTAAAAAAAAATATATAAAAAATAATAAAAAAAAAAAAATAACTAAAATAAAAAAAAAAAAAAATAAATAATAAATAATAATAAAAAAAGCCACTAGATGGAGCTGAGGAGCTTCCTATGATTTTAGCACCATCTAATTTTTTTTTATACTACAGTACTTTTTTTTTATTTTTTTTTTTTTTTTTTTTTTTTTATGAAAAAAATTTTTTTGCAGAAAATACAAAAAAAAAATCCAGCAAGTCCTTTTTAAATTTTAATTTTACATGCAATTTTTTGGCTAAAAACGGCTATGTGAATTTTTATAAAATAAACCCTTTGGACTTTTTTATTAATATTAGTATTGTACTAACCTAAAAAAAATATGAAAATTTTAAAAAATAAATTAAATTTTATAATTTAAAATCTTATTAAAAATTTAAATTTTATAAAAAAAATTAAATAAGAAAAAATAAAAACGATGATAATATTGTTATTTATATGACGCTGTAAAAAAAATTATATAAAATTGTTATAATTGCTAATATAATATTATATAGTATATATAAAAAAAAAAATAATGATAATTTATTTTATTATTATTTATTTTTTATAAAAATATTATATTTTAAAATTAATTATATAATATATAGAAAAAAAAATAATAAAAGAAAAAAAAAAATAAAATAATAATGTTTTTTATTTTTTTTATTATTAATTTTTAAATATTATTATTTTATTATTAAAAACAATAAAAAAAGAAAATAAAAAATGTAATATTACTAAAAAATGTAAACTGAAGAAAAAATGAATATTATATTTTATATTTATATAGAAGAAAAAAATGATAACAACAACAATAATAATGTTTTTTTTTATTATAAAAATATAAAATTATTATGCAGTATCTAGAGGTAGAATAATATTTTTGTAATTATAATAATATTGTCACTGTTTATATGAAGGAGAAAATGATATACAAATTGTTTATTACTATTATTATACAGTCTGTGTGTATGTGTGTGTGTATTATGCAGTATCTACCTCTAGATACTGCCTAATATAAATTAAAAAATAATGTTAAAAAAAATAAAATAATGTATATTATATATATAAATAAAAAATGTGTGTGTGTGTGTATATACAGTGGGGATCGAAAGTTTGGGCACCCCAGCTAAAAATTTGTATTAATGTGCATAAAGAAGCCAAGGAAAGATGGAAAAATCTCCAAAAGGCATCAAATTACAGATTAGACATTCTTATAATATGTCAACAAAAGTTAGATTTTATTTCCATCATTTACACTTTCAAAATAACAGAAAACAAAAAAAATGGCGTCTGCAAAAGTTTGGGCCCCCTGCAGAATTTATAGCATGCACTGCCCCCTTTGCAAAGCTGAGACCTGCCAGTGTCATGGATTGTTCTCAATCATCGTCTGGGAAGACCAGGTGATGTCAATCTCAAAGGTTTTAAATGCCCAGACTCATCTGACCTTGCCCCAACAATCAGCACCATGGGTTCTTCTAAGCAGTTGTTTAGAAAACTGAAACTGAAAATAGTTTGACGCTCACAAAGCTGGAGAAGGCTATAAGAAGATAGCAAAGCGTTTTCAGATGTCAATATCCTCTGTTCGGAATGTAATTAAGAAATGGCAGTCATCAGGAAACAGTGGAAGTTAAAGCAACATCTGGAAGACCAAGAAAAATAAAATAAGACAGAACAGCTCGCAGGATTGTGAGAGAAACAATTCAAAACCCACGTTTGACTGCACGATCCCTCCAGAAAGATCTGGCAGACACTGGAGTTGTGGTACACTATTCCACTATAAAGAGATACTTGTACAAATATGGTCTTCATGGAAAGTTTTATATCATCAGAAGAAAACCTCTTCTACGTCCTCACCACAAAAAATCATCGTTTGAACTTTGCAAATGAAACATATAGATAAGCCTGATGCATTTTGGAAACAAGTTCTGTGGACCGATGAGGTTAAAATTGAACTTTTTGGCCGGAATGAGCAAAGGTACGTTTGGAGAAGAAGGGGCACAGAATTTAATGAAAAGAACCTCTCTGCAACTGTTAAGCATGGGGTTGGATCAATCATGCTTTGGGGTTGTGTTGCAGCCAGTGGCACAGGGAACATCTCACGAGTAGAAGGAAAAATGGATTCAATAAAATTTCAGCAAATTTTGGATGGTAACTTGATGCCATCTGTGAAAAAGCTGAAGTTAAAGAGAGGATGGCTTTACAAATGGATAATGATCCTAAACACACCTCGAAATCCACGGGGGATTACATCAAGAGGCGTAAACTGAAGGTTTTGCCATGGCCTTCACAATCTCCTGACCTCAACATAATTGAAAATCTATGGATAGACCTTAAAAGAGCCGTGCGTGACAGACAGCCCAGAAATCTCAAAGAACTGGAAGACTTTTGTAAGGAAGAATGGGCAAAGATACCTCAAACAAGAATTGAAAGACCCTTGGCTGGCTACAAAAAGCGTTTACAAGCTGTGATACTTGCCAAAGGGGGCAGTACAAGATATTAACTCTGCAGGGGGCCCAAACTTTATTTATATATATAAATTATATATATACATTAATTAAAATACTGTGTGTGTGTATATATATATATATATATATATATATATAATAAAAAAATACTGTGTGTGTAATATATATATATATATATATATATATATATAATATAAAATAAATAAAATAATTATATTATTATTTATAGAAAAATTACTATTATATAGTATATAGACATAAAAATAATAATGTTGCTGCTGCTATTATTATTAATAATAGTAATACTAATTCATATTTATTAATAATAAATAATTATTATTAAGAATAAATAATCTATAATTATTTAATAGCATATAGAGGGAAAATCATAATGATAATATTAGTTCCTATTTATATGAAGGAGAAAATTGTATAAAAATTGTTATAATTACTACTATTAGTAGATATAAAAAAAAAAAAATTATTATTATTTATATAAAAGGAGAACATTTTAAAAAATGATTTATTATGTAGTATATAGAAGGGGGGAAAAAAAAATAACAATTTTTTTTTTTATTATTATTATGAGAAAATGTTTTATTATATAGTATACAGAAGGAGAAAAAATATTATTGCTATAATTTTTTTTTTCATTTTTAGGTGAGCAGAGCCTTGGAGCAAGCCACAAACCCATCCCTTGGCTTGTCTCTGACCGGCCACGGACCTTGCCATCACGTGACCGCATACCGCCAAGGAAACACAGGGGCGTCCCGCAAAAAAGTGCTGCCCATCTTGAAGGACTTCCTGAGAAAGAGCGACTGCTCCTCCCGACCCATGCAGGTGTTCCAGGAGGCCGAGGACTCCAAAGGACAATCGGGATTCAATGAACAAAGTTTGGACAATCATTTTGAATTCCCCTCAGACGATGGCGATCAGCCGGACTCCCAGGGGGAGGACTCCAAGGGAAAGGACTACCGGGCCCATTTCGGGAAACAGTTGGAGGACGGTTTAGAGGATGAAAACTCTTTCCCACCGACTCCTATGAACAGTCTAGTGGAAGGTTGCCCCTTGGACCGAGGCCTACCGAAACTGACGGCGGAAGCCATCTTGGAAAGGATTAGCCGAATTACGGTTGGGGATTCGGAGGGAAATGCAACGATTGGGAGCCAATGATGGGGGTTTAGGACGGGCTCCAGCCAATAGTATACATGTATCTCAAGGTACTTCTCAAACAACAATGCAAGTTTAGCTTTTTTGATACCCGCCCGATAGCAGCACACCAAATTCTGGTTTTTTTTTTTGAATCACGATCGCGGTGAACGTATTATTTGTTATACAGAGAAAAAAAAAAACAGAGAAAAGGAAAAAACTCAACCGGACTCTTTTCTACCGCCTTTAAATTGACTTTGAAATTTTAACTCCAGCTGATTTGTAACATTTCTGCCACATTTTTATTTCTGTATGTAACTCTTTTTTTTTGTGTGTACTACAAATGTGTTTTTGTTTTTCTCCCATTCCAGAGATTTTTTCCATCGCTTTTAGGAAATGAAGGGACATCTCCCCGAAAGTGACACACAACAATAAAAATTTGACCCGGGCTCTAATCCTTCTCTTTTAGATCTACAGCAAAAAAACACTTTTATTTATTTTTAATTTTTTTTATTTTTATTTATTTATAAAATTTAGGCTTTGACCCCTTTCTGCCAAGGGGAGCTGGCACAATGAGGTACTCTTAAAATGACCGTAAAGTCTGGTTTAGATGGTGGCTGCATCAATTCATTCCCCATGGTCCCGCTGTATGTAGGAACGTAGCCAACTTGTCCTTGTCCCACTGTATGTAGGAACGTAGCCACCCAGTCTTGGTCCCACTTTTGTAGGAACATAGCCACCTTGTGTTGGCCCCACTGTAGGTAGGAACATAGCCACCTTGTTGGCCCCACTGTAGGTAGGAACATAGCCACCCTGTGTTGGTCCCACTGTTTGTAGGAGCGTAGCCACCCATTCTTGGTCCCACTGTAGGTAGGAACATAGCCACCCTGTGTTGGTCCCACTGTTTGTAGGAGCGTAGCCACCCATTCTTGGTCCTACTGTATGTAGGAACGTAGCCACCCTGCATTGGTCCCACTGTTGTAGGAACATAGCCACCTTGTGTTGGACCTACTGTAGGTAGGAATATAGCCACCCTGTGTTGGTCCCACTGTATGTAGGAACGTAGCCACCCAGTCTTGGTCCCACTGTAGGTAGGAATGGAGCCACCCAGTCTTGGTCCCACTGTATGTAGGAACGTAGCCACCTTGTCTTGGTTCCTCTGTATGTAGGAACGTAGCCACCCTGCCTTGGTCCCACTGTTTGTAGGAACGTAGCCACCCAGTCTTGGTCCCACTGTATGTAGGAACGTAGCCACCCTCTCTTGGTCCCACTGTATGTAGGAACATAGCCACCCTGTGTTGGTCCCACTGTATGTAGGAACGTAGCCACCCTGTGTTGGTCCCACTGTTTGTAGGAACGTAGCCACCCAGTCTTGGTCCCACTTTTGTAGGAACATAGCCACCTTGTGTTGGCCCCACTGTAGGTAGGAACATAGCCACCCTGTGTTGGTCCCACTGTTTGTAGGAACGTAGCCACCCATTTTTGGTCCCACTGTATGTAGGAACGTAGCCACCCTGCGTTGGTCCCACTGTTTGTAGGAACATAGCCACCTTGTGTGGACCCACTGTATGTAGGAACATAGCCACCCAGTCTAGGTCCAACTGTATGTAGGAATGGAGCCACCCAGTCTTGGTCCCACCGTATGTAGGAACGTAGCCACCCAGTCTTGGTCCCACTGTATGTAGGAACGTAGCCACCCTGCGTTGGTCCCACTGTTTATAGGAACATAGCCACCTTGTGTTGGACCCACTGTATGTAGGAACATAGCCACCTTGTGTTGGACCCACTGTATGTAGGAACATAGCCACCCAGTCTTGGTCCCACTGTATGTAGGAATGGAGCCACCCAGTCTTGGTCTCACTGTATGTAGAAACGTAGCCACCCAGTCTTGGTCCCACTGTATGTAGGAACATAGCCACCTTGTCTTGGTTCCTCGGTATGTAGGAATGTAGCCACCCTGCCTTGGTCCCACTGTTTGTAGGAACGTAGCCACCTTGTGTTGGTCCCACTGTATGTAGGAATGTAGCCACCTGTCTTGGTTCCACTGTATGTAGACATGTAGCCACCTAGTTTTGGTCCCACTGTATGTAGGAATGTAGTCACATTCCCGTGTATGTAGGAACCCTGTCTTGGTCCCACTGTTTGTAGGAATGTAGCCACCCTGTCTTGGTCCCACTGTAGGTAGAAATATCGCCACCCATTCATGGTCCCACTTTAGGAAGGAACATAGCCAACTTGTCCTGGTCCCACTGTATGTAGGAACGTAGCCACCCTGCCTTGGTCCCACTGTATGTAGGAATGTAGCCACCTAGTTTTGGTCCCACTTTATGTAGGAACGTAGCCACATTCCCGTGTTTGTAGGAACATAGCCACCCTGTGTTGGCCCCACTGTATGTAGGAGGGTAGCTGCCTTGTACCCATATAAGTGACAACACTGCATCAAAGCTCACCGCCTTGCTGCCCCACATCTGCTTTTTGCCGCCAGGAAGGACTAGAGCAAGGCGGGGCCTAAAACAAACGTCCTGCTTTTTTCAGGTTGCTTTCCAGCCGAACCCCCCCATCAATTCCACAGAAGTCACAAATAATTGCTGCAACGTTTCTACTATGTGTATTTCCTATGATTGTCAGCTCCATCTTGTGTCCATAACGTGGTATTCTCCCAATTGGGGTGGGGTGTTTTAGTAAAATAATGCGCTACGGCCACTAGATGGAGCTGATGATCACAGGGAAAACACATATTAGACATATTACGGGGATTATTCCGGATGGCTATACGAAGGTGCAATGATTTAATAAATAGACCCCCCAAAAATAATCTAAGCGGAATTTTTTATTTCTTTTTCTTGTAATTTTAGACTGAGAAGAGAAGGGTTAGAACTCCTTGCTACATTTGCAGAAAGCAATAATGGCGGCACACCAGTGATCTAAATCCCAAAACGCATTGGATTTACATAGTACATAAGGGGGGAGTGTCTAAACCCTGAAACGCATTGACGTTACATAGTACATAAGGGGAAGTGTCTAAAACCCGAACCGCGTTGGATTTACATAGTACATAAGGGGGAGTGTCTAAACCTCAAAACGCGTTGGCTTTACATAGTACATAAGGGGGAGTGTCTAAACCCCAAAACGTATTGGAATGACATAGTACATAAGGGGGAGTGTCTAAACCCTGAAACACATTGGAATTACATAGTACATAAGGGGGAGTATCTAAACACCAAAACGCGTTGGATTTACAGAGTACATAAGGGGGACTGTCTAAACCTCAAAACGCGTTGGATTTACATAGGACATAAGGGGGAGTGTCTAAACCCTGAAACGCGATGGATCTACATAGTACATAAGGGGGAAGTGACTAAACCCCGAAACGCGTTGGTTCTCTTTTTCTACTACTTTTCTTCTGGACTCTTAAGAACGTTTGTGTAGCGCCACTACTGCTTTGTACAAATTGCACCTCCTCTCCCATTGGAGATATTTTTCGGTACGTTAGCAGCCTCCCGGGTTTTTTCCACCCTCTCCATTTGTCCTGGTGGCCATTGTCCTTGGAACCAAAACGGATTGGAAAATCCAAAATTTTGAGTTGTCACCAGCACAGGAGTAGAAGGGAAATCTTCCAACGGGGACATTTGATCTGGTGACAACTAAGAGAGGAATTCTCCACTGTAAGGAGATTTCTTCTTGCTTCCTGTGTTGTCTATGGAATGAGAAGTGAAGGAAAGTCTTGCCAGAGGACATAAAGGAAGGTTTTGGTTTGAAGGTAGGAAATGAAGGGAAGTCTCCCCCAATGGGGCACAGATGGCAACTGGACTAACGGTGAAGTCTGTTAGGCCAAATTGTTTCAGGGATCCCTCTTCATCCGGGCTCTAAATGTTCAGGAGATAGAAATACTTGAACTATAAAGACCTCCGATGGCAGATTAGCTTCATAGGGTTGGTGGGATTGATGGAGTTGGTGGTTTGGCTGTAAACCCAAAAAGCTTGATAATGAACCTTTTCATCAATAAACGGACTTTGGAACTTGAACTAAGCTGATGGTCTGGTGCTCTCTTTGCTGTACAACCGTTCTCAACCAGAGTTCCATGGGAGGCTGCTAGGGGTTCCTTGTGCTATGGCTGACTGACCTCCCATCTCGGGGCACCTCCATACTTCCAGGTTCAACTCTACTTGCCTTGCCCTGTAAGAAGGGGAAAGAGGCATTCTTCCCATTGACCACCAAAGTAAGGAACATTCTTCCCACTGGCCACCAATGTAAGGGGCATTCTTCCTAGTGACCCCCAATGTAAGGAGCATTCTTCTCATTGACACCAATATAAGGGACGTTCTTCCCACTGACAACCAGTGTAAGGGGCCGTCTTCCCACTGACCACCAATGTAAGGGACATTCTTTCCAATGGTCACCAATGTAAGGGACATTCTTCCTAGTGACCCCCAATGTAAGGAGCATTCTTCTCATTGACACCAATGTAAGGGACATTCTTCTCTTTGACCACCTATGTAAGGAACATTCTTCCCACTGACCACCAAAATAAGGAACATTCTTCCCACTGACCACCAAAGTAAGGAACATTCTTCCCACTGACCACCAATGTAAGGGGCATTCTTCCTAGTGACCCCCAATGTAAGGGGCACTCTTCTCATTGACACCAATGTAAAGGGCACCCTTCCCACTGACCATCAAAGCAAGGAACATTCTTCCTACTGACCACCAGTGTAAGGGGCATTCTTCCCACTGACCACCAATGTAAGGGACATTCTTCCTACTGACCACCAATGTAAGGGTCATTCTTCTCATTGACCACCAATGTAAGGGACATTCTTCTCACTGACCACCAATGTAAGGGACATTCTTCCCACTGACCACCAAAATAAGGAACATTCTTCCCACTGACCACCAAAGTAAGGAACATTCTTCCCACTGACCACCAATGTAAGGGGCATTCTTCCTAGTGACCCCCAATGTAAGGGGCACTCTTCTCATTGACCATCAAAGCAAGGAACATTCTTCCTACTGACCACCAGTGT